TTTAGAAGAAAGTAAGGGACGAAAAACAAAAAGGAGAAAGAGAAGGAATACATTTAATGGTGTGTTGCATTACCGCCGAGAGCAAAGACGGCGTTGGAGGAGGTGAGAAGAGTGAACCGACAGCTAGGCTCCTGCTTACCGGCCTGTTCTTTCCACTGGCCGAGGGAGCTGTGGGCGTCTGGCGGCGTAAACATCTCCACAGTGTTGAGAAATCGACCGTTTTTATCCACTCCACCGACGACCAGAATTGCCCCCCGAAAGGCCGTCGCTGCGAGCCCCCATCGCGCAGTTCTCATGGGCTCAGCCGACTGCCAAAAGTTCGCTGAGGTCGCCTCCTGCCGCCGCGGCCGCCGGTCTGCTCGCAGATGGCAGAAGACCACAGAGACAAGCGTGGTGCGGCGTTTATCCAAACGCTTTCTTGAAATCGATGTGAACGACATCGACTCTTGTTCCTTCGTCTAACGAGTGGGACTACTGTTCTATTGAGTGGGGCATATTTGTTAAGCAGGGGTGGTTTCGTCGAAAGCCATGTCAGGTACTACCAAAGAAGCCCTTTTCCCAGAGGAACTTCATAAAAGTTTCTTTGGCCAGTTTTCCCCCAACTAAGACATGCACAGTCCCGATTCCTCAATATCCGATACGTCTTTATGAGATCTCCTCGAATCTGCCTGTACTCAAGAGGAAATAGTTTAAGTTAACTACGTCTGCGGTTGTAAGGTAAAGTCCTGAGGCCTTTCACAATTGTTGTCGCTCTCCTCTGAAATCTTTCATAGCAACTTATAGTCTTTTTTTAGCCATGGACGAATGAACGCTTGGTATACTTTTCCGAGTAACTTTTTGTCTATATTTATGAAAGTTTGCTTAATTGCAAAGAGGAAACTGGTTGCCCTTTTGGCTGTACTAGCGCACTTAGAGGAAGGCTCAAGAGTCGACAAAATGTTAATTCCAAGATGATTTTGCTCGGTCACATTTGAAAGGCACCTTCCGCCAAGCAGGTAATGGTGATCCTCGCCATCAGCTCTTCCATTCGTTTTGAGTCGCAGCGCGACGCACTTGCCAAGGTTAAACTTAGCAGCCACTTTTCAGACCATTCGCATAGGCGGTTCAGTCCTAGCAGAGCCCGTTCATCATTCTTCCCGTTGATGGCTCGCCATAACTTGATGTCATCGGCAAACATGACTCCTTTGCAGTGCAGTCCATTCGTACAGTCATTGACACAAAAACGGTACTGGTCCGAGCACAGAGCCCTGGGGAACTCCACTCACAGTTGGCACTGGCCAATGCACACAGACTGCGATCGGCCGGTTTAAGAAGTCCTCCACCTAAGCTAGTATGTCGTCCTCTATCCCCCACTCTCGGCCTTTGTAGAGTAGCCGTGTGCCCCACAGACAGCTTTGTGGGAGCAGGGACGGTGACATGCGCAGGGGTTTATAGTGCCAGTAGACTTGCGCTGCATCTACCTACACATCTCTCCTCCTCCCCCGACTGGGCCCGGTGTCAAGACAGAGTCAAGAAGACCGGAGACGAGGGAGGCCGCAGGTGGATGGCTCGGACGGATCCTCGCCTTGGCGCTCCACTCCGCACCCCTGGTCCACACACCAATGACCAGGATTTTGACCACACAGCCATGGGGTGGAGGCAGTGGTCCAGTTGTGCGACGAATGCCGACAACAGGGTCCGCCAGCGCACCCCGCAAATGTTGGCATTTGTTATTGCGCACAGATAACGCCTGCCAGAGTCCGATGTGGCCCCCGTGTTGGTCCAACGCATCTAACACGCGGCCCGTTTTGAGGGCACACACACGCACAACCCACAGGCCTCCGTCTTCCTCCACCCCCCAGATCGACCTTCCGTGGCCGAGGGCAGACGCATAACCAGCAGACCGGTTTATCTTCGTTCTGGCTAGTGTCTCGACTCGCGACTACATGAGCGCCAACCTATTGCGGGTCGGAGAACTTGGAAATTACAAGGTAGGCATTT